CACCCAGTCACATGGCTGGCAAGCCACTCCCACAAAGGAGGCCACACCCACAATAGGTTCGAAAAATTTTTGAAACCCACCACTGGAAGAAACCATACCAACAAAAAGTTGAAAGGAAAGTAAAGAAGGTGAAGACTGAAAAGAGACTTAGTATGGCTTGAAAGCTGGGGCAAAAAGGGAACCACGGAATCCAGAGGCCTCCACAGATCAGAAAATAGGCGTAGGAGAGAAAACCGCATGGAAAATTAAAGCAGCTTAGGTAAAAGATAAAGGTTCCCCTCACACATACGTGCTAGTCGTTCCCAACTCTAAGGGGTGGTGCTCATCTCTGTTTCAAAGCCGAAGAGCCAGCACTGTCTGAAGACGTCTCCATGGCCATGTGGCTGGCATGACTAAACACCAAAGGTGCATGGAGCGCTGTTACCTTCCCACCAAAGGTGGTTCCTATTTTTTCTACTTGCATTTTTAATGTGCTTTCAAACTGCTAGGTTGACAGAAGCTGGGACAAGTAATGGGAGCTCACTCCTTTACGCAACGCTAGTGATTGGAACCACCAAACTGCCAACCTTTCTGATCAAGAAGCTCAGTGTCTTAGCCACTGAGCCACTGCATCCCTGCTAAAGCAACTCATAGCAGACCAATTTTGTCTGCTTGTAAACATAGCTCCCAATTCTGGCAAATTCAATTGCTGTTCAAGACTCAAAAATAATCCAAGCCCCTTTTTGTTTTCGAGCTGTCCTTGGCTGAAGATCTTGTAGTTTGGCTGTTGTTTTTCAGTCCTAATCAGTCATTTCTTCTCCAGCATTTCTTCTATGGCAATGAGCAGACTATAGTTAATCAATGCCTACATTATAAAATGTTTAGGATTTGGGTAGAAAGTGATTTATTTGGTGGTAGTTTTCTCAATATGTTTTTGAAGCAAAAGCTTTCAATTTCAGCAGAATTGCAGCAATACATTATTGTAGGCTGCACATGCCACATCATTAATTTTACAACCTGGGAGTAGTATATAAACAGCTTAGAGCTATGCTTGCAATCAGCATGTTGACAGGAAGAAAGAAGAAGTAACCACACACAATAATCAAGCTATAAAATAAACAGTTTGGGGTAAAGTTAAAGAAGAAAAACTTGGGTTTTTAATAAAAATTAATCAGATTCCGTCTGGTTGTTTTACAGCTCTAAATTTGACCAAATTCCATATTGCTTTCCAAGTAAAATTGTCGAGGCTATATAGTTCTTCAAGAAAATAAATTTCATTGAATGCATTGGGATTTGTTTTGGGGAAGGCTTGTGTTGGAGGATCGCATTGTAAGTATGACAAAATCAATAGTGTAGCTTTATCTGGTTTCACCTCTTTGTGTGTAAAGCAAAGTTATCTTAAGATTACAATGAAAAGTTCTGCCAAAATCAATCCATTCACAAAAATGACTGCAGTATTGGATTACTGGATATTGGATTGCATCTTTCCGCTTGGAAAGGGAAATCGATTCAGTTGCCACATCCCCATCTTTTATACCTAGAACCAGTGCCTGAGTGTTTTGCTCTGCATAACAACAGCTCATAGTTAGCACATTGCCAAGAGCTCTACTGTGCCTTTAATTTAGCCCTCTCTGCAATATTTATCTTTTTCCAATTTGGAATTGTTAAGAGGGGTTTTGTGCCTGTATGCCTTTGAATCATTGCTGACTCTTGCCCAGATTAGTCCCTGCAGTTTTCTTGGCAATGTTTTGGAAGTGATTTGCCTTTGCTTTCTTCTCAGGGCTGAGAGAGAATGACTGGCTCAAGGTTTTGTGTGTAATGTAGGAGTAGAACTCAGGGTGGTCTCCCAATTTTTATCCCTGTGCCGTATCCACTACACAAAACTGGCTTTTTCAATCTGTTATCTGCACTACAAAATATATGCTAGAAAATAAGGTCACATTTTATTGGCAACCATTCCGAATGTACTTCAGCAACTGCCTTTTTACAAATTAAAGACATCCAGCTTTGTACAGAGCAAAATCCTTTACATATCTCTTTAGAATCCCCACTGGGTTTAGTGGATTTATTCTTAGATGAATGCGTAGATACAGGAGAGAAGAATCTGAGGCTCTTTAGATATCGTTCCAGCTTCTCCAGCCATCATGATCTAGGAAAATGGAAGCTGGAATCATCTTATTTTAGAGAGCTGCTGGCTGCTCTAACTCTGATATATAGAGTATTGAACTTTTAATGATCCCGAGCAAGAAATAAAACTCTTGATTTTTGCCTTTCACACTAATAAAATTTAAAAGCATTTTTTTTTTACAAGAACAAGTAATAAGGACTATTCCCAATAAACAGATGTGATTTCAAGTCCCTGTAACCAACAGCAATTGAGTTCACCTTCTGGAATTCTTTATCTGTATCTAAAAACAAAGGGTTGACTAAGATGGCTCTTCGCTAACCAGGGGAAAGTATGCAAAATCATTTCTATTGCTTCTTGAGAATCAGAGTGAAAATGAGATTCTTCTGCCAGTGTTAGGCTGTGGAAATATCCTAATTAGTTGTAGATGCTGCCTTCTGCTTTTGCAATACAGATTCTTGTGGTTTATCGCTTTGTTGTTCTTTTTCACGAATTTTTGCCAAGTTATTAATAATACATATGACACAAGCTCTCTGAAAGGCCTTGATTGGCAGAAAATGTAGGAGAGATACCACATAAAATAGAATGAAATGGAAATAAAATTGACCTGGCATTGAAATTTGGTATGGTATCTTATTTTTCTAGGCAAGTTACGCTACCCAACAAAAGTCAAAACAAAAACAAAATAAATTTAAAAGAGAAAATCTTGGAATGGATGCAAATTTCCCTCTCTTGTTAACTCCATATCAACAGAACCTCTGCCCTCATACCAACTGTTCTCGTAGATTTTCACGGGTGTAGGTATGCTGGTATTGTTATATTCGGGTCTTTTCCCATGTAAGATTGAGATTGTCTTGGCAACGTTTCGGCGAGGTCTCACTCGCCATCCTCAGGCTGGTGTTTTCGGCTTCGTGCTTGTGCGAGTAAGGCGTGGTTGGAGCTGTTGTCTTTCTATAAATCTTGCTGGGGGTGTGTGGAGTCCTGGCTTTGTTGCTGTAAGTGGGTTGATTGGCTGTGTAGTTGCATCCTGATTGGTAGATTGATGTTTGTAGATTGGTCGGCTGTTTCGTACCATCCTGTGTGGCTGAGGTGCTGGTTGTGTGTCCGTTGTTCTTTTGTGTTGTAACGACCTGGGTGGTGGGTGGGGTTTGTTTGTTGACTAGGGCTGGTTTCCAGATGTCTGATAGGCGGGAGGTACCATCACGTTTATTCATGTTGTGGGGGTGTTTCTCTATTTCGATGGCTTCCATAATTATTCTCCTGTTGAAGTGTTCTGTTTTGGAGATTAATTTGATTCTTTCAAATTCAAATTCATGTCATGTTGCTTTAAGGTGCTGGAAAAGGGAGGAAGCTTTTTTTTCCTGACTGCATTCTTGTGTTCTGCGATGTGTGCATTTATTCTCCTATTAGTTTGTCCAATGTATGTGGCAAGGCAGATTTTGCATGGTATTTCGTAGAGTCCTTGGTTTTCTAGCTGGATCTTGTATTTGGGGTTTCTTAA